ATTTGCTATTAGAATGGCAGCTACAGCATAAAGAAGAAAAGTGAAACACGTAGAAAAAATGAGACGTACAAAAATTATCCCACAGAAAAAATGAGATATACAAAAATGATCCCCATGTCAGTTAATCCTTCATTGGGTAACCTTTAAAATAAAATAAATAATTTTATTTCTATAACGCCCTTCTCCCGAAGGACTCAGGGCGGTGTACAGCCAATTTAAAAACACAAGACACAACAATAATTAAAAATTAAAATAATTAAATAAATTTGGCCAGATTAAAACCCCAAAAATTTAAAATACCCCAATTAAAATATTATGTTGATAGCCTGACCTGGCGGAACAGCAGGCAGCTGTTTAGCATGAATTATGGCCTTACAACGTCTTTCCATGGAGGGAACCAGGTCTTTTAGTTCTGCAGCTGTTCTAATGTGAAACCAAGATTGAATGATGGCTTCTATTAACTGGGTTTTATTGCTGGGTCGCTTCTGACTAACCAGTTTCTTTAGTCGGCTCCATAGATTTTCAATTGGGTTAAGGTCTGGGCTATTCCCAGGCCGTTCCAGCAGTGGAATAGGATTATCTTGAAACTCCCCCCAAAAAAGTGGTGTTATTAGCCATCAAACTTCAAAAATACCCTTTTCCCCAAAAGGTTTCCACAATTTTGGCCACTACTGTAGTTCCAACATTCAGAGGGACAGTTTGGTCTAGTGGTTAAGGGTCCCGGTTAGAAAGCAGGAGTCTGTGAGTTCTAGTTCCGTTTTAGGCATGAAAGCTGGCTGAGTGACTTCGAGCCAATCACCAGGAGATGGTGAGTTCTAGTTCTGCCATAGGCATGAAAGCCAGCTGGATGACTTTGGGCCAATCACCAGAAGATTGGGAGTTCTAGTCCCATTTTAGGCGTGTAAGCCAGCTAGGTGACTTTGGGTCAATCAACAAGAGACTGGGAGTTCTAGTCCCATCTTAGACATGAATGCCAGCTAGGTACCTTGGGCCAATGAACAGGAGACTGGGAATTCTGGTCCCATGTTAGGCATGAAAGCCAGCTAGGTGACTGTAGGCCAAACACCAGGAGACTGGGAGTTCTAGTCCCATCCTGTGCATGAAAGCCAGCTGGGTGACTTGACTAAACACCAAAAGATTGGGAATTGAGGTCCCATTTTAGGCATGAAAGCCAGCTGGGTGAGTTTGGGCCAATGAACAGGAGACTGGGAGTTCTAGTCCCATCCTATGCATGAAAGCCAGCTGGGTGACTTAAGACCAAAAACCAGGAGACTGGGAATTGAGGTCCCATGTTAGGCATGAAAGCCAGCTGGGTGACTTTGGTCCAGTGAACAGGTGACTGGAAGTTCTAGTCCTGCCTTGGACATGAAAGCTGGCTGGGTGTTTTTGGCCCATCACTAGGAGACTGAGAATTCTAGTTCCACGTTAGGCATGAAAGTCAGGTGGGTGACTTTGGGCTAGTAGTCCATCTCTCTCAGCCCAACTCACTACTCAAGTTTGTTGTTGTGGGTAAAATAGGAGGAGAGGAATGTTCACCCCTTTGAGTTCCTCGTAAAGATCAATGAGAGCCGGGTACAAATAAATAAACAAACAAACAAACAGCTGATCTGCAAAAGGTGATCTCCCTAAAGCAGGAACGTGCAACCTTTGAGTCTTGTGTCTCTTTTTCTCTGTGTGTCGCTCATTTTGAAACGCGAGCGGTACACAAGAACAATTGCATTCCTGGTATTTAGGTTTCATTAAAATTCAATACAACGGCTGCCCTTATTTTCCACTCTTAACATTGAATTATTTTTTTCCCCCCTCTGGACACATTTGAAATGGCAATTTTGCCATTTGCTTGAGAGGCCTCCAGAGACATCTGGATTGAGAACAAGACTTTCCCGTTCCTTATCCTATTCAATCGGGAACAAGTCACGTTCTTGGCCTCCTCTTGTCCAGGGTGATTCGGATTTAGAAAAATTAGGAATTTTTTGCTTCTCTCTTGAGTTCTGAAGAGGCTTCGACTGGAAAAGAGAGCTCGTTTTGGGAGGCCGTCAATGGATCAACGACTCTCCAAGTCCAGTGGTGGGATTCAAATAATTTAACAACCGGCTCTCTGCCCTAATGACTGGCTGGGTGGGCGTGGCCATGGTGGGCGTGGCCAGGGGGTGTGACAGGCAGCACTCGGCCTCCTGCACCCCCCTGGGAGCAAAAAGGGGCCGCGGAAGGGGGGAGATGCGCCATCCCCTGCCCCATTTTGGGCATAGTAGGTCTCCCTGCAGCCTCCTGGGAGCGAAAACAGGGCACATGGGGACTCCTGGAAGGGGCAGGATGGGGAGGGGCCAGCCAGCAATTTAACAACCAATTTGCCCGAACCGGCTAAATCCCATCACTGCCCAAGTCTACTTTGTTAGTTGTAACTGCAAGAGGGGGCGGAATTTTCAGAAGTTTGAGATGCAGAAGGAATTAGTGTGGAATGGAATGGAAAGAGTAGAGTAGGAAAGGAGAGGAGAGGAGAGGAGAGGAGAGGAGAGGAGAGGAACTTGGAGATCTTCTAGTCCAGCCCTCTACTCAAGCAGGAGAGACTCTACACCATTCATGACAAATGGCTGTCCAATCTCTTCTTGAAAATCTCCAGTGATGGAGCACCCACAACTCAAGAAAATAGAGTTGGAAGGGACCTTGAAGGTCTTCTCGCCCAGCCCCCGGCTCAAGCCGGAGACCCTAAACCATTTCAGAGAAGTGGCTGTCCAGTCGCTTCTTAAAAAAACCTCCCCAGTGATGAAGTCGCTACAAGTTCTGGTGGCAAGCTGTTCCACCGGTTACTTGTCCTCACTGTCAGGAAGTTTCTCCTCAATTCCAGGTTTCTTCTCCCCTTGATGGAGTTTCCATCCGTTGTTTCTCCTCCTGGCCCTCTGGTGCTTTGGAAAATAAATTTGGAAAAATCTGCGCAGCGTTTTGGGCCTGGCGCTTTGTTTTTTGACATCAGAGGCTGCCATGCTTTTTAAAGTTCCAAGCACAAAAGCCAAAAGCGTCCTTATCCAGTGGCACAAACACCATAAAGTTAGAGTATATAAAACCTGCAGTGCAAATTTATTTATTTATTTATTTATTGGTTCGATTTATATGCCGCCTTTCTCCGGAGACTCAGGGCGGCTTACAATGCGTTAAGCAACATCCTTCATACTTTTGTATATACAGTACCTCTCTATTAGGGCTTTTGGCCCCCCCCAAGCGGTGTTCTTTTTTATACAAAGTCAGCTTATTGCCCCCACAATCCGGGTCCTCATGAATTTCAAATGAATTTGAAAGGATCAGAGCACGTACAGAGTGTAACCTAACTCAACTTTTGATATTCCTTGCTGCTGAGAGACGCTCCATTGTGACCCAATGATCTATCTATATAGATAAAGCCTCCAGGCCAGGGGTCCCCAACCTTTCGGACCTCAATGACCACTAAATTCATAATTTTAAATCCCACGGACCACTAATATGATCTGCCTAATGACCAGTTGGGTGGGTGTGGCTAGGTGGTCATGTGACTGGGTGGGCGTGGTCAACTTGGTGTCACTCACATCGAGGAGCACCTCGCTAGCCTCTACTCGCCCCTCCCCTCCCAGCCACTACTCGCCTCCCCGCCCGGGCTCCTTAGGAACCCAACAGGAAGCAGTTGTTGGAGCTAAGCAGCCACTAGGAGAAAGAGTTGGCAAAACAGCTCAGTTCAAATTGGATCTGGCTGAGAAGGCGGCTTAGCAGAAGCACCTCACTGAGGACTAGGAGCATAGGCTTTCCAAGCAGAGGGAAGATCTGCTGGAGTGCAAGGCCAGGTACTGGTGCCTGGAGGCTCAGTGGGCTGAGATGGTCAGCCAGTTCCAGGCCATGATGCAGTCCCACTGGAACGAGGCACCCTGTCTCTTTGCCACCAGCGGCCCTTCCCTCCAGCCTTCGCCCAAAGCCCCACACTAGAGACCGAAGCAGACCCCAAGTCAGAATTTCTGCCCCCCCTCCGACCTACATAAAAAGACCCCGAAGGGGGAGATACTCTGCAGCAACACAAATGTTCATTGCACGTATCTGGCTGAGGGGCCGTAGTTTGAGGACCCCTGATTTAGTGCAATATAAAAAATGCAAATCATTTTTCTGTGGACCACCAAAATTTTCTCATAGGCCACCAGTGGTCCACGGACCACCAGTTGGTGATCGCTGCTCCAGGCTCCCAAGTTAGCCTGGCTTGTAACTTAAAATGTGTATTCTCAGCAACCTAATGTGAGATAGTAACTCCTAACAAAACTCTGGGCTACATGCCAGAAAATGTATTTCTTTTCCTCCTTTCTAAGGTCCTTTGTTTTCAGAGTGCTGATAAAATCACGAAGTTTGCATGAACTAATGGCAATGAAATTACCGTTTCTAACACAGTGACGATCTGTGCAAGCTGTGTAAATTGTCAGAAGTTTGAGAAAAAGTTTTTGAGAGGCAGCTTCTGCTTCTTTTTCTCTCTGCCTTGTTCTGTTTAAGGTGGGAGATAAAAGGTCGCCCAGTTTTGCATTCTGATCAGAAATAAAACCGATTATCGGTTGCCTCGTGTTCAAGAGTTTCATTGGCATTGATCAGATTCTGAGCTGCAGTCGAAAACCTTACAAATCTAAAAAGGCAAATAAATTTTAAATGACCGGAAAATCCATTGCTTCACCACCCGTCCCGAGAGCGATTTAGGTTTTGCTCCTTACACTGCAACTCCCAACGAAACAAAGCGGTGGGAGATTCGAGGCAGAGAAACAGAAGCTAACTTTCTGTTGAAGTTAGCTTGTGAACTAACCATGGTCTGTCTTTGTGTTCCCAGGTTTGGAATTCGCCTACTCCGCGGCTCCGAAATCGATGCAAAGTGCAATAATGGGCCTCTTCTTCTTTTTTTCTGGAATCGGGTCTTTCGTGGGCTCGGGACTCCTGGAGTTGGTGTCCCTCAAATCGATCGGTTGGATGAGCAATCACACGGATTTGGGTCAGTTATCTCTATTGGCTTGGATTTTTTCTTTTTTTAAAAAAATATGCAGGCAGAAAACCAACTTCAAGTTTACCCTTTTATGGATCAAATGCTTGATCCCAAAGTCAAGGACTTTCTGTAATAAACACATTCTCCGCTGAAATTTTGGGGAACCACTATCTCCCAAGGTTATAAGTCAAGGATAAGCTATAATAAACACATTCTCCTCTGAAATCTTGGAGAACAATTGTCTTCCATGGTCATAAGTCAAGGGCTACCCACTATAAACACTTTCTTTTCTGATATTTTGGGAAACAACTATCTTCCTTGGTCGTAAGTCAAGGATTCCCTATAATAACCACATTCTTTTCTGAAATCTTAGAGAACCACTATCTCCCATGGTTGTAAGTCCTGTACTGCAAAGAGTCCTCCGACTTACAACCATGGGAGACAGTGGTTCCCCAAGATTCTCCAACATGAGAATCCGAGTCCGAAAGGAGAAGGGTGGTATAGAAATTTGAATAATAATAAAATAAACATATCCTCCTCTGAAATCTTGAGGAACCAGTATCTCCCATGGTCATAAGTCAAGGACTCGCTATAATAAACACATTCTCCTCTGAAATCTTGGGGAACCACTATCTCCCAAGGTCATAAGTCAAGGACAAACTAAAATAAACACATTCTCCTCTGAAATCTTGGAGAACATCTGTCTTCCATGGTCATAAATCAAGGGCTACCAACTATAAACACTTTCTTTTCTGATATTTTGGGAAACAACTATCTCCCATGGTTATAAGTCAAGGATTCCCTGTAATAACCACATTCTTTTCTGAAATCTTGGAGAACCACTATCTCCTATGGTTGTAAGTCCTCTACTGCAAGGAATCCTCCGACTTACAACCATGGGAGACAGTGGTTCCGCAAGATTCTCCAACATATCCTCCTCTGAAATCTTGGAAAACCACTATCTCCCATGGTCATAAGTCAAGGACTCCCTATAATAAACACATTCTCTGAAATCTTGGAGAACCCGTCTCATGGTGAAGACACTGAGTGAGATCCAACTTACAGTAGTGGCCAAAATTGTGGGAACCTTTTGGGAAAAGTTGTATTTTCTAAAACTAGCTAATAACTACTTTTTTTTAGTAGTACCATAAAATTATATATCAATGGAAAGAGAATTTAATCAAGAATGTAACGCAATAACCTTTATGAAGGATTTGCTATTAGAATGGCAGTTACAGCATAAAGAAGACAAGTGAAACACGTAGAAAAAACGAGATATACAAAAATGATCACTGTGTCAGTTAATCCTTAGTTGGGTAACGTTTAGCATGAATGACGGCCTTACAACGTCTTTCCATGGAGTGAACCAAGTCTTTTAGTTCTGCAACTGTTATCATGTGAAACCAAATTGAATGATAGCTTCGATTAACTGGGTTTTATTGCTGGGTTGCTTCTGACTAACTAGTTTCTTTAGTCGGCTCCCTAGATTTTCAATTGGGTGAAGGTCTGGGCTCTTCCCAGGCTATCAACATAATGATTTTAAATTGGGGTATTTTAAATTTTTGGGGTTTTAAACCAGCCAAATCTATTTAATTATTTTAATTTTTAATCATTGTTGTGTCTTGTGTTTTTAAATTGGCTGTACACCGCCCTGAGTCCTTCGGGAGAAGGGCGGTATAGAAATAAAATTCTTCTTCTCCTTCTCCTTCTCCTTCTCCTTCTCCTTCTCCTTCTCCTTCTCCTTCTCCTTCTCCTTCTTCTTCTTCTTCTTCTTCTTCCAGCAGTGGAATAGGATTATCTTGAAACTCTAGAAAAAAAGTGGTGTTATTAGCCATCAAACCTCAAAAATACACTTTTACTCAAAAGGTTTCCACAATTTGGGCCACTACTGTAGTAGCGTGGGAAGCATTCTACCTCACTAAATGAGCACATGGGGAACTTTTGGGGAGCAGCGTAAAAGTTCTCGGGACCTTCTCAGGAACTGATTCAGCAAGATCAGCCCTATAAATGCTCGATGACCAATAATTTAACCCAAGGAATTGATCAGGTTTCTTCCATCCCTTCTCCATTCACGCTGTGGCTCAAATCCCCTCTCCTTCACGGATCTGCAAGAGCCCGAAATTGCCAGCCAGCATTCTCCTCTAAAACAATTAAAATTAGTTCTGCCTTGTGAGCGAGAGAAAAAGATTTTTATGGCATTCACACTCTGATCCATAAAAAAAAGGGGGGGAAGGTAGTTTTTTAAGCCCCTGTGCTTTTCAGGGGAAATATATATATATATATATATCCCGTTTTTAAAGTGTCAAGTGAAAGAGCTTTGGTGCGGTTCTCGCCTCCCGATTAAAAAAAATGGGTTTAATTGAATTAATGCTTACAAGGAAAAGAGGCTTCACGTTGACGCAGGGGTATTGCTGGCGAACTGACCAAATTCAGATAGTTTCTTAAGGAAAGGAAATGCTTAATTAATACGTTTTGATTGGGCTGAAGGAGGGTCTGATTTGGCTGTAAATGTCAGGAAATCAATATCTTTCTTCCCTCCCTCCCTCCCTCTTTCTCCTTCCTTCCTTCCTTTTTTCCTTCCTTTTCCTTCCTTCCTTTCTTCCTAGCCCTTCCTTCCTCCCTTCCTCCCTTCCTTTCCTTCCTTCCCTCCCTCCCTTCCTTCCTTCCCTTCTTCCTTCCCTCCCTCCCTTCCTTTCCTTCCTTCCTTCCCTTCCTTCCTTCCTTCCCTCCCTTCCTCCCTCCTTTCCCTCCTTCCCTCCCTCCCTTCCTTCCCTTCTTCCTTCCTTCCCTCCCTCCCTTCCTCCCTCCTTTCCTTCCTTTCTTCCCTTCTTTCCTTCTTCTCCCTCCCATCTCTTTCTCTTTCCTTCCTTCACTTCCTTCCTTTCTATCTTCCTTCCTCTCCTCTCCTCTCCTCTCCCCTCCCCTCTCCTCTCCTCTCCTCTCCTCTTTTCTTTTCTTTTCTTTTCTTTTCTTTTCTTTTCTTTTCTTTTCTTTTCTTTTCTTTTCTTTCCTTTTCTTTTCTTCATAGCTGTACAGTTACTTAGGTGAATCCCAACCTTTGCTTTAAATCGTACTTCTTTCCCTTTTAGGCCACGTCCTAACTTCCCAGTCTCCATCCACAGACCAAAAAAAAAAAAAAAATGCATTTGCTTAATTTCTGTTCTCCGTTCAGCTGCTGACTCCATCTCGTCTTTTTTTTTTTCCTCGCAGGGAACATCAACGGTTGCCATTTAAACTACTACTTCTTCCTCCTGGCGGTCATCCAGGGTGTCACTCTGCTGCTTTTCCTCATCGTGTCTGTCAAATACGACCGCCAGAAGTCGAGGACGAACGCCGGACGGACTTGACGTGACCCGTAACCAGAAGACAACCGAAGTCGGGGGGGGGAATCGGGAGATGTGGCTGACCCAGCAGGAAACGGTCATCCAGAGGGGAATTTTTCTTTTGACTTGCATGATTTTTGACTTTTAGGTTGCCCCCACCTCCCTGCTGTTACTACCACCCCCCGCCCCTGCTAAAGCAGAGAGTGCCTTATGCTAGCAAACTACTTTTACAGGCTGCATCCTGTGATGTAGGCCAGACGTTATCGGAGGTCGCCAGGTTTCTCTGAAGCTTCTTTCCACCCGTCTGCTCAAGCCGCCTTTGGAACCCGAAATAACCAACCCAGAAGCATTTCAACGTCCCTTCCAGTGTGACGGACGGACAGAACTGCATAACGGATAACGTGAGATCCTGGCTTGGAAATTATTTGCTTCTCCCCTGGACGCCTTTCCGAGGTTCGTAGGTAAAGGTGCCGACGTCAGGTTTGTGAGTTGCTGTGCATCGAACCTTCTCTCTCTCCCCCCCCCACACACACGCGAAGACACCGGTAGTCCACAAGGGTAGGACTCCAAAGCTCTACCAACGGCTCTGGCGTTATGGCTGGGGATCATAGGTCGTTTAGTCCAAGCGATGAAGAGGTCTAGTTCGACAACAAAGGATATTTTTTAAGCTACTGTAGGTTTTGGGGGAAGGTTTGGTTTGGTTTTATGTTAGCAATTATTTGGGAGTGTGAAACTGGTTTGGTATCATATTTTGCCTCTTTCATGATCCTTCCTTCCTTCCTTCCTCCCTCCCTCCCTATATTCTTTCCTTGCTTGCTTCCTTCCTCTTCCCTCTTCCTCCTCCCTTTCTTCCTCCTTCCCTCCCTATTTCTTCCTCCTCCCTCTTTCTTCCTCCCCTCCCTCCCTCCCTCTATTCCTTTTTTCCTACCTTCCTTCCTCCTTCCCTATATTCCTTCCTTCCTCCTTCCCTCCCTCCCTATATTCTTTCCTTGCTTGCTTGCTTCCCTCCTCTTCCATCTCCCTCTTTCTCCTTCCTTCCTTCCCTCCCTCTATTCCTTTTTTCCTATCTTCCTTATCTTCCTTCCTTCCCTCTCTCCCTCCCTCCCTCCCTATATTCCTTCCTTCCTCCCTATATTCTTTTCTTGCTTGCTTCCCTCCTTTTCCTTCTCCCTCTTTCTCCTTCCTTCCTTCCTTCCTTCCTTCCTTCCCTCTATTCCTTTTTTCCTACCTTCCTTCCCTACCTTCCTTCCTTCCTTCTTCCCTCCCTCCCTTCCTCCCTCCCTATATTCTTTCCTTGCTTCCTTCCTCCCTCTTCCTCCTTCCTCCCTTCCCTCCCTCCCTATATTCCTTTCTTTCTTCCTCCCTCCCTCCCTTCCTTCCCAGAGTTGTTTTTAAATGACATATGGGTTGAAAACAGAGATGAAAATGCAAACAAAGTTCTCAATTTCTCATCCGCTCGTGTTTTCCAAGTTGTCTCAGATGCACAACCTTGACTCAACAACCCTTTTAACCAACTCTTTGCACTGAATTTTAGAGTCGCTGGAAGGAAGAAACTTTGCTTATATTTTTGTTTTTTAAAAAAAATCCTGAGAATTGCTCTTTAATTCTTAAGCAGAATTTTTAAAAAATACCAAGTATCTTCCTTTAAACTTGTTTACAAAAACCTTGTGATGTGAACCTTGTGTAAATAAATTTTAAAAAAAGGTTTGTCTCCTTATTTTCCTCTCCAAATTCAGTCATTTTTTTAGTTGCAAGCTGAAAAGCTCTGCGAATAAATTTAGTACTTAAGAAACCGATGTTGGCTACAACACTGTTGGAAGCTATTTTCAGAGTTCATAAGGACTAGAAACTCTTGTGGTCCGCCAGCAGCCTGCGGAGCTGGCAGTGGAGTCGGACAGCGATGAGGCTGAGGAAGAACATGGGCCAGTCCTGGAGGCTGGGGAAGGCCCGGATGAGGGCTGTGCGTCAGAGGCAGAGATGGGGCCAGGGCCATCGGGGAGTGATGTTCGGACTTCGGAGCCTCCAGAGGCTGACAGCAGAGAGGCAGAGGAACAGGAGGAGCCAGTTCCTAGTGCATGCATGCGAAGAGCTGTCAGAAGGCAGGAGCAGCTAAAGCAGAGAGGACAACTCAGGAGTAAGGCCAAGAGATGATTGGCCACTCCCATAAGGCTTAAAACAGATCAGCTTTGCCGGAAAACAACGTTGGTAGCTTCTTCTTCGTCTACGTCTTGTATTTTTTTTTTTTTTATTTGATTTATATGCCGCCCTTCTCCGGAGACTCAGGGCAGCTTACAATGCGTTAAGCAATAGCCTTCATACTTTTGTATATTTATACAAAGTCAGCTTATTGCCCCCACAATCTGGGTCCTCATTTCACCTACCTTAGAAAGGATGGAAGGCTGAGTCAACCTTGAGCCTGGCAAGATTTGAACTTACTAATTGCAGACAGCTGGAGTTAAATTACAATGCATTAGTCTGCTGAGCTATCCAGGCTCCATTTATTCTTTGTATCTGGGACTTCTGAACGTTTGCCAAGAAAGGCCTTTGGCAGTTTGCCTAATTGGACCAAGGTTTGCGATAGTACTGAGTTATTTGTGTTGGGAGGAATTTGCTTTAATTTAGTTGAAAGACGCTGGGAATGAAGTCATTCTCAGCTGTTCGAATAAAGTTTGTTTTTTCACTGACTGATTTTCCTACTACTTACTTGAGCCTGGGTCACTACAGAAACTTCAGTGAATACCATAACTTCTTCAAATAGGTTTTCCATCTATAATCATTACTGACATACACTTATCGCTCCTCTGTAATAACCTAAGAAGCTTGTACGATTTTTATCTTCATTGGTCTGTTTATATTTTATAATACTGTATGAACAACATGACTTAGTGCGTCGTACATCTTGGTGGGAATATTTTGTGTCTTCTACAGGTCATCCTCATTTAGCAACCACAGTGAGACTGGCCAATTGGTCGTTCAGTGAGGAGGTCACTAAGTGAAGTCCAAACATAACTTAGGGAACTGGAGGCTAAAACTTACGATGAGCGGTTGCAGGAACTGGGCATGGCTAGTCTAGTGAAGAGAAGGACCAGGGGAGACAGGAGAGCAGTCTTCCAATATTTGAGGGGCTGCCCCAGAGAGGAGGGGGGGTCAAGCTATTTTCCAAGGCACCCGAAGGCCAGACAAGGAATAATGGATGGAAAGTGAACAAGGAGAGATTCAATCTAGAAATAAGGAGAAATTTTCTGACAGTGAGAACAATCAACCAGTGGAACAGAAGTTGCCTTTGGAAGTTGTGGGAGCTTCATCACTGGGGGCTTTCAAGAAGAGACTAGACTACCATCTGTCAGAAATGGTGTAGGGCCTGCTTGGGCAGGGGGTTGGACTAGATGACCTACAAGGTCCCTTCCCACTCTGTTAATCTGTTAACCCCAACTGCACTTACCATCATCCTTCAAGTTTTCTTTGCTTGGCCGGCCTGCGAAGATCATCAATGAAAGGACTGGTGGCAAAGTTAACTTTTTCATCTCCATCACTATTAAGGGTCGCTGTGCGAGACAGTTGCTAAATGCAGGCAGCCTCTAATTTTGCCGGGATCAATCTCTACCCTCTGGATCCCAGGAATAAAGTGAACCTTGTAACTTTTTGCACAATTTTGCTCTTTTCTCTGTGAGTGTGTAAATATGGCAAGATCCATATACCGTGTTTCCCCGAAAATAAGACCCTGTTTTATATTTTTTTGAACCCTGAAATAAGTGCCTGGCCTTATTTTCGGGGAGGTCTTATTATTTTGGGGCGCGTGGAGCAAGATGGGGCTCCTCTTGCAGTCTTACCTGATTTCCAGCTCTGCATTTAAATATTTTTGGGGAGGGCTTATTTTCAGGGGGAGGCTTATTTTAACATACGTGCTCAAAAGCCCGATTGGGCTTATTATCAGGGAATGTCTTATTTTCAGGGAAACAAGGTATTTGCAATCTCGAGGACGATTTTTGCCCGAAGCAGGTTTTCTTTTAAAGATTTACCACGTTCTGGATCAGTCTCCTTTCCCCCTTCTCTTCCCCTGAAAGCCTGACCAATTAACTTTATGGCTAATTAAAGAAATACCTTGGCAATGCATCCTCGATGCTTTCGGATTCAGTGGCTGATTTAATGTAGCTGATATATCGTTCTGCCTTTCAAGTCCTTTTTTCTGGACTGCTAATCATTCATTGGGAAATAAATCAAGCGAGGCAGAACTTTTGGGGGTCCGTCGGCCACAAATCGGAGAATGGAGCCCCCCCCCCGAATGGCACCGCTTCAGAATGCCTTAATTGATATTTTTCAAATGAGAGGTTTTCACGGTGGCAGAAATCCAGCGGTAAGAGAAGCTGCCTAACTTCCTGCATATAGTAAACAGGTAGGTCTCGACTTACAACCACAATTCTTCTTCTTCTTTTAACGACCTGGTAATCCCTTGCAGGGTGGAATCTCGGCAACTGAATGGAGCTGAGTGTTTACTTGCTGGATGCTCTTCCTGTTGCCAGTGCGGAGTTTTGTTCAGCAGATATATTTTCAATGTGCCCAGAGAGAGAAATATCTGCCTCTATCTAGGATCGACCTCACAGCCTCTTGATTGTGAGGCAAGAGCGCCACCTCTAGGCCAGCACACCACTCAGACTTACGACCACAATTGAGCCCTCAATTTCTCTTTACCAAGCGAGACAGTTGTGAAGTGAGTTTTTCCCCATTTTACAACTTTTTTCATGCCACAGCTGTTAAGCGAATCACTGCAGTTGTCCGTCATAAATACTAGTCGGTTGCCATCTGAATTTTGATTACGTGGCCATGGGGGATACTGCAATGGACGTAAGGGTGAAAAAACTGACATTTTTCAGTGCCGTTGTAACTCTCAACAGTCATTAAACAAACTGTTTTAAGGACTTACTTATGTGAAGGCATCACATAAAACCAATATCCTGATAAATTAATCTGAGTTATGAACCCTTGATGTCAATCCCGAACTCATCTCAGTTTGTGAAAAGGGTGTTTTATTCTATTTTACAATATCTTTTATTAGTCAGATCTCTGAGCGCCTAACTAAAGCCATTCATCCTCCGCCTATTAGGTAATAAAGCGACTGTCCTCTTAAGAGAGGAAATCTGGGGTGATTTGGCGTCTATTCTTCCGAAGAGAGAGAGAAAATTTACACCTTAATGGCTGTCAGATATTAATGGCTTGATGGGCTAGAATTATCCCGTCGTGAAATCGAACTAACCAACCTTTAATCTCAGTCATCTGATGATGTTGACACTGTCAGGGTTTTTTTTTTTTTTTTCCCATATGGACTTTTCAAAAGTCCTGCCCTTCCTTTTGAAAAAGGAAAAAAAGGGAAAGCAGAGATCAGTTGTCTGTCTCAGTTTCATCTATCCATCACTTATGTATCGATTGATCTAATCTACCTACCTACCTAATCATCTATCTATTGTATATAGCTATATCATTATCATTCTATTATCTTTCATCTACCTACCTATCTATCCATCATCTATCAACTGCCTGTCTATCATCCATCTATATCATCCATCTCTCTCTCTCTCTCTCTCTCTCTCTCTCTCTCTCTCTCTCTCTCTCTCCAATCTATCCATTCACACTATCTTAATCTATCAATCATCCATCTAAATCTACCTACCTACCTAATCATCTATCTACCTACCTACCTATCATCTATTGTATATAGCTATATCATCATTGTATTATCTTTCATCTACCTAGCTATATATTCATCATCTATCAACTGCCTGTCTATCATCCATCTATATCATCTATCTATCTCTATCTACAGTATCTATCTATCTATCTATCTATCATCTATCTATCTATCTATCTATCTATCTATCTATCTATCTATCTATCCATCCACACTATCTTAATCTATCAATCATCTATCTAAATCTACCTACCTACCTAATCATCTATCTACCTATCTACCTACCTACCTATCATCTATCTATTGTATATAGCTATATCATCATTGTATTATCTTTCATCTACCTACCTATATATTCATCATCTATCAACTGCCTGTCTATCATCCATCTATCTATCTATCTATCTATCTATCTATCTATCTATCTATCTATCTATCTATCCAATCTATCCATCCACACTATCTTAATCTATCAATCATCTATCTAAATCTACCTACCTACCTAATACCTACATCTATCTACCTATCTACCTACCTACCTATCATCTATCTATTGTATATAGCTATATCATCATTGTATTATCTTTCATCTACCTACCTATATATTCATCATCTATCAACTGCCTGTCTATCATCCATCTATCTATCATCTATCTATCTATCTATCTATCTATCTATCTATCTATCTATCTATCCAATCTATCCATCCACACTATCTAATCTATCAATCATCTATCTAAATCTACCTACCTACCTAATCATCTATCTACCTATCTACCTACCTACCTATCATCTATCTATTGTATATAGCTATATCATCATTGTATTATCTTTCATCTACCTACCTATATATTCATCATCTATCAACTGCCTGTCTATCATCCATCTATCTATCTATCTATCTATCTATCTATCTATCTATCTATCTATCCAATCTATCCATCCACACTATCTTATCTATCAATCATCTATCTAAATCTACCTACCTACCTAATCATCTATCTACCTATCTACCTACTACC